TGCGATTCCAGGCTGGACAGTAGCGCCTGGAACCATTCAAAAGAGGAAGTGTCCTTGCAGACCCAAATGAACTCGACGCGACGGAGACGGCGCGGCGGGTTGGGCGATAGGCGCAGGTGCCAGATGTTTTTGAGAATCGATGCCCATGGCGTCACGCCGATGCCTGTGCCGATGAGCACTGCGATTTCGTTGTCGAAAACGTCTTCGGCAGGTGCTCCGTAGGGCCCATCGATACGGATACTGGGCATCTCCTGGCCGTGTTGGAGCGCCACCTCGTACATTCCCATTGGATCCATGTCATCGTAGAGTTTTGCTTGCGCGGGACCAGCACCGAGCGCATCGGCCAGAGCGCGAGTCCAGTCTCCGACCTGTCGAACATGGATGCTGACGTACGGGTCGAATGGGCAGGACGTGATGGTGAATGGGTGCCATTGGTGGTAAGAAACAGCTGGGCAATTGATGAAGAGCCACTGGCCGGGCTTGTACTTGAACGATGGTTTGGCGAATTGAATCTCGACGGCATCTGGAATGGATTAGCCTCGTAGCTTGTGACATTAAGTTTTCGCAATGCTTACCGTATGGGTGGCGAATTACTTTGGTGATTGTCGTTTCCCTGCGCGCTCTAATCTCGCGCGCAATCCGTTCAACGAGATAAATTGCGCCGCCTACGAGCTCCCATCGCCAACCTTCGTAGCCGAGGCAGTGGTTCCAGAATGGCTTCCCCGCAAAAGGTGAAATTGGATCTGTTGTATCTCGGACGAAACATCCCGTGGCGTGCGTGTACATGCCCAAGAGAAATGGGATGAAAAGGTGATGCGTGTACCAAAAGGTCTCGTACGATTGTTGGCGGATGCGATGATGAGCGGTCGTGTATATTAAGAGCATGCAGAGGAGCATAATGTGTCCGGTTATGCCTCCTGCTTGGGTGTAGTGAATTTGGAGCGCGATTTCGGGTCTGACCTGGGTTTTTTCGACATTGAAAAAGTTCACGTAGTGTCCGGCAGTGTGGATGACGGTAAAGACAAGCAGGGCATAGGCAACTTGTCTGTGGAACCATTGAGACTCGTCCAGGGGAAGCCATCTGACCTTTGGACGAACAACTCGAAGTAGTGTCCGACACATGGGAAGAAGAATGAGCAGCGTGTCCACCGACAGAACTAGGCCAGCTCCTCGAGATATCCACACGGACCATCTGAGTTTGTTGAGCGCCGCGAGACGCTCGTCTTTTGCTTGTTTCCACCTACTCATGTCAGTTGAGTGATTGACGTATTACGCGCCTGCGGTGACTAACCATCCTACTGCAAAAATCGCAATGTGAAAGCCGTAAAATAAAAAATAGAATGCCAATTTCCGGGGTTCCAAATGAGCTTTCCAGCTCTTCTTCTGCAGTTGAACCGCCATTTCGAGCCTTAGAGAGTGGGTATCGAGAGACTCCAAGGCTTCACCTCACTAAAAGAGGTGCTGGTCGGATGATCAAGAACCAAAGATCGAAAGCAAGGCGAAAGATTGCTGTGGCTCAAGATTTGGCCCAAGATTTTGTCCCAAATCCAAAAGATGACACGGCGCGAAATTTTGACGCAATGCCCTACCCAAAGAATACGAAGAAGGTATTTGGGCGAGCAGAGCTTCGAAAGTACTCCTTACAGGCACAAAGTACAGAATCTTTGTTGCTCTGTTCAGGATGTGCTGACTGTCTCGGCCGTGCAGTCACGCGCCGACCATACGCTACTGCTTACGAAGAATTATGCCCAGTATAGTCTTCCAAAAGGTGTTTGAACAGGGATGGCCGTTTCTTGGGGAAGCTTGGCTTGATTTGACGTGAAGAGCCGCAGCCGCTATGATTAGCTGCTTCCCCTGATGGTGTGGGGTGAGGAGCGGGATGACGATGACTGCGTCGTCAAACAGGCGGTAGCGTGTATTGGAATGCGGGAAGCAGGGAGGACTAGCAGCCTTGGGAATTGCGTTGCCGTCGGAAGGGTGTGTCAAGTCTGCGACTGACACTCGATACCCATGATGCGGAGGATGTTTTGAACAATCTCTCCAATCCTGACGCGACGATTTGTGATTCCAAGCTCTTGGTTGCGGCGAACTGAGGCTCTGGCGGACCGTTTCCCAATTTTCGCCTACTCTTGGACCACCTTGGCGACGTTGAAGCGGTGTCAATATGATGTTGAGATTCCTTGTGATTGTCGCGGCCGAGTGCTTGGGTTAGGCGCTTCTCGAAGGATTCCTGCTGGACTCTTTCCAATGCCTCTCCCGCTGAGTCTATTGCGGGCGCAAAAGTGCCGGTTGCTGCCCTCAAAGCACACGAGGATGTTCGATGCGAGGCTCTATTGACTTGACCAAAGCTCGGTCCCAGGCTGGTATACGAAACCGTAGTCGAAGAATGTAGACGGTCGTTCGAAACAATCTTGGATTTGCGTGCAGACACCACGGGTGACGAATGGGCCGATAAACCGAGAAGAGTCCAGCGGTTTATGCAGACGGCGACGCTATGTTTGGGGTGTTTGGAGGAGCTGGTGCAGAGAAGTCTTGATGACACAGAGTATGCAGAAGACGGACAACCGATAGAAGTGGAGCAGCGTGCAGCACCCTTGGACCACATCATGTCTCGATTGCGTGGCAGAGCAGCTGTTTGCCATGGGCGCTTGAGAGATTGTGGAAGGCGGTGGACAATGCCTGCAGCTGTTCCTGACCACTCGTTGGACTGCAGCCAACGGCACGCAGCCTGTAGGCGCCGACATGATGCACGATACGAGCACGCGAAAGCTGTCCCAATATCACTGGAACCAGCATAGGCATCGTGCTGACAAAAGAGGGTACATGCGGCCGAGCCAAGGCCCAAGCCTCTTGTCGATGGAGCTGACACATTTCTGGCAGGTTGATTGGAGATGTGGCCACGCCGTTGTCAATGGAAGATGCGAGGAATGGCCAGGGTGATTCCATCATGCCCAAGGCGTGGAAGATTGAGCGTCGGTAGAGGCTTCATCGTGTTGTGTTTTGCGATGGAGAGAGCGAGTCCTTGGGCGACGCGACGGACGGGCGCGGCTCTTGACAGGTCAAGGCTCAGCTTGGCCTCGGTGATGTGGAGGTGACAAGACATGTCATGGCAAGAGGGCAGCGGGGCCAATGAGCGGCAGCAGTTGCAGGGCGGGTGTCACGTTGATGGATGTGGGTGTGACATGGTGGTGGTGAGGGAACAGGGCGGCCGTGATTTGCTGGTTCCCCTGGCGCGTCGGCGTGCGCACCAGCCCCAGCGCTTAGCACCCCCACCTCGCATGCATGCTCCATCCATCCAAATTACTTCCAACGCCCACTTCTTTACTGTGACAGTCAATCGCAGTCCTGAGACTCGACGCCCTTCACACTACTCGGCTGACCCGAGCCCCAACGCCTCGTCAACGGTATATTGCTATTGTCTTTGCTCCCTGTCATCAAGTAGCTACCTTTACGCCCCTGTTACTTTCGCCAACCACTCTCGACATGGGCAAATTAATCAAGAACCACTGGGCTCGCTTGGTCATGCTCACAGCTGCTGCCTGTATGTATTCATTCAAAGCATTCCCCACGGCGTCCCTTTTCTGACATGATTGTTCGTTCTAGATCAAGTCGGCGCGTCCATCGAAGGCTTCTTTTGGCCAAAGATATTCTGGGACTTTTTGACGCGCAATCTTGATGGAGCAGTAAAGCCAGTTCCTGCATTGCAAATAATCAACCTCCTTCTCGGGCTGCTGGGCTTTGCTTGGGAGTGGCCCCTCAGCTTTCTGGCCGGATCAGCTCTCCACAGATCCATGGAGGCCCGATTGGTCGTTTATCCCTTGAGCACCCTCGCGGCCTTGCTCTTATACCAAGGCACAAATGCTGGCCTTTACTACATCATCGGCATGATGGTTTATTTTTGGGCTTACAGCGAAGGCGAGGTAAGTTCATTCTTTCTGCTCCCCTGTTGACTTCTCGCTGACTCTGCTTAAGGTCGTATGCGCAAAGCCATGGACACTGCCCAAGCGGAGTCGGCCGACTATGGGAGTTTGAAGAGACCATTGGTGTATTTGGAGTTTGGCATTTACATCGGGCACAGCGAGGCGCTTTTGGACTTTTCTTGATGTTACAGGACGACAGTGCATTGTTCATCCATCCAGATACCCACTACTCGTGTTGAGATTGCACGAAATAACGTCACGGGCTGGCGCAAACGAAGCATTCTAATTTTTGATCATTGGCAATCGTTCTTGTTTCATACACTGTGCGTCGCAACCACAGCTGCTCGGCAGGGCGAGGTGAAATTGTGAGAACGTCTCTCACATCACTCTTCGTAAACGTTGACATGTTCCAGTGTTGAAGGATCAAAAACGAAACAGAAGAAAGTGCCCCTGAAGCACTTGGGCTACCCCTGGTCCTCAGTGAACGTGATAATCTATTGACAAGTTGCAAAAAAAAGTCGACAGCCCCAGTTTTCACAGACAGAAAAGGTAGCCTGTCAGAAAAGAGCATGTGCTCTGCTTACTCTCCTGGATCGGGCCGCGATGAGTTCATACGCAGTGCTGACCCAGGGAACGCGTCCGCGCCTCACAAACGCACAACGAAACCAGAAACTTGCCCCCTGGGGTCACCACCAACGCGCCAAGATGTCTCCAAAAATAACCCCAAAAGAAAACTTTGTCGCTTTTGAACAAAACCCAGGGATGAATCGCTCTCGAAACCAGCAACCGACCCGACGCGTGGGCAGTCTCCGGACTCACCTACCATGAATTCAACAGACAAACATGCGCGCGTAAGAATACCGCATCTTACTACGGCCCGCGCATCTCTGAAAATTTTCAGCTCTATCGCTGGTGAATTCCAGGAGCAAAAAATGGCTCTCGCCAACCGCTCATCGTGAGTTGACCACGACAGCACCTGGACACGCACGGATACTCGCTACCACACAACCACCTTCCAGCGCCCGCGCTCGATGCCCAATCAATCAGAAAGAAAAGAGTTGAAAGGGGCCAAAAGAAAGCTAGGTCGGCCAGGACTTGAACCTGGGACTTGCCGTGGACGCGACTGTTGTTGCCACGGCATGCGTTACCACTACACCACCAACCCGTTTGCGAGTCTGCTGCTTAGTGGTGGATACAAGTCGCAATTCTTCATATGCAAAACGTCCTTTCCTTGGCTTCTTACCAAAAAGAATTAACGCTCTAGACAGTGTAAGCTCACATCATCTGCCTTCTTGTCACGCGTCAGTTTTTCGCGGCCACATGTAAGGGCCTTTGCTCACGCCGCGATTCAATTCTTATCATTTGGCTTCAAAAATTTCAGACTGTTCCGGAAAGCTGACTCTCGCGTGCGAAATGTCGTGAGTGCGGATAAGCGCAAAGGGTCCATCCTCACGTCAGCGGAGACTTTTCAGCTCGCTCCATAGACCCTGATCGTTTGACTGATACAGCGAGGAAAATTTGGGCTACATTCTTCTTTCTTCATCTACGCATCTCTAGCTTTCCCGAGTTTTACACCACGTGTTAGGACAAGACAAGTTTGCACCGTCTGTGAGTACTTGAGCGCTAAGGCTGTTTGGTGCGGTTGACGCTAGTCGCCCAAAGTCTGAATGTTCGGCGTGACCCAATTCATATTTGCAATTGTTGACGCCGCGGTCTTGTAATTTGAATGAAGCTCTTTGAGAAATGAAAGAACATCTTTGACGGAGTAGACCTTGTGACTTTCAAAGTGTGCTCGCACGACTGACCAACATTTGATGCGATACACCGTACATTTTCTGCACAGCATTTGTAGCGAGCGAAGCAGATTGACCATAATTTGAATCTCTACCTAAATTTGATGCGCCCCTGTTGCAGTGATATCACTTTGAACTAGCAACACGCTTTCATGGCAAGTTATCTTAAAGCGAGTGATCTGAAGGCAAGTGGTCTGAAGGCGAGTGATCTGATGGCAAGTGATCCATTCTCGTTGCGCCGGAACTGGCACTGCTGTCCAGTGCGGACAACGGAAGGGTTGGATTGGTGACGCTAGCCTCCCGAAATCCGGAGTTGCGTAGCATCCCCAACACGACAGAAGCCGTTACCCTACCAACGGCTTCAGTATTGTGTGGTTGTGTTCAACCAAAGAGACGTATTGAGCCACTGATTGAGAAAGACTTGCAGTTGATTTTGTCGCGAAGTGTGCTTGAGGACGCCGCGCATGTCCACGAAGGCAACGGAACTTTCAGGGGAAGTTGGCAGCACCTCTTGGGATTGTCGTTTTCTCTGTCGAACATGGAGCGAGATGTTTAATTTCCGGACTGCAATCAGGAGTGTGATTCAATAGCCAGAGAGTGAGAGCTCTTGCTGTTGGGGAGCATGTGATGAATTCAGCTTCGGACCGTCCAAACCAAGATATCGGGAGTCAGAGCTCTTGATACTGGTAGCTTTAGATCAATTCAGCTTCTGACCGACCAAAATATTGGGAGAGTGATCCAACGGAGTCTCCGCTTGTGTATAAAGGCCTCCGGCTTCCCGCGTGTCTGTGCTCCTCACCATCAGAAGAAGTCAATTGCCTATTCGGAAGCGACAACGACAGCGACAACGACAACGACAACGACAACGACAACGACAACGACAACTATAACGACAACGACGACTACAACGACAACGACAAGACAACCTCAACCACAAACTCTACAACAACACTCTTTCTCAAACCATGCCGCACCGCATGTAAGCCCAACACAATGTTGACTCCCTGACACCGGCAGATGACTGACCTTTGCAGGCCTGCTCTCTCCGAAGCCATCATGGAAACGATGATTCAAAACCGCTTCCACGAACTCTGCATCCAGCTCGGCATCCAGTCCGAAGATCTTGCCCCCGGCCCGTCTTCTCAGGGGGGGGACATACAACCTGTTCCTCTCAGCTTGAACGAGGAGAGGGAGCAGCCCCCCACCAATGCTGCGTCCCAGGGGACTGGGCCGATTCCCCTGCCCCTTCCCACGCCTCCAAGATCCCCGGCAGCCAGAGAGGACGGCCCGGGTCTCCAGGCACCGCACTCCCACCAGCAAACTCCAGCGGCTCCTCCTGGGCTTGGAAACAATGCAGGCATGTACTTGCCTGGGGCGTTGGAGGAACGCCGAATCGCCTTCTGCGCGCCACGCTTTCAACAGCACGGTCTCATGCCCCCTCCCGGCCTCCAGGAGAACGAGGGCAGGTATCTGCCGCAGTTATTCTTCCCGGGCGCCGAAATCCCCTTTCCCCCGCCCGCATCGGCCGAGCACCGCCGGGGACCCTCGCAGCAAGAGCTGCTGGAGCAGGAACGCAGGCGACCAATGCTGGAGCAGCGAATGGAGATTGAGCTGCGGCGGCAGGAAACCCTGCAGATGGGGCAGCGGCGGGAGCAGCAGCAAATGCCTCCAGCCGAGGAAGATGGGCAGGCCTTGCCGTCAGAATTTACCCCAAGGCCATCACTCCGGGAGCAGCAGCAAATGCCCCCCGCCGAGGAATGGGCCCGGGCAGGCCTTGCCGCCAGAACATACCCACGGGCCATTACTTCCAGACCTAGGGATAATGAGCGACAAGGAGTACGGCGAGGTGCTGAGGCGGTCTCATCGGCCTTCGGAACGAATAGGATTGGGGCCCCTGCGGGCGACTTGCCGGGTCTGATCCACCCGAGGCGCAGCGCCTTCTCCAAGTACTCCCTGAGGGTACTCAATTCTCGCTCAGAGAGGTTGTAGATGGGCAACTGCGGTGGCGTGCGGCCGGCCTCGAGGTCGATTGCGTGATCGTGCTCCGTGTTTTGGGCGAGTTCGCCGTCAAAGAAAATCACTTGGGAAGAATGAACCAGAAACGCTGTGGACGTGGGAACGCGAATGGCGGCGTACTTGTAATCGTGACAAGCGCTGGGGAACGATCTGAGCAGTGTGGTTGGTGCGGAGTCAGCCATTGTAGCTGGATGGTTGGACCTTGAAAGCTTTTAGAAAATTTGTGGTTTATACCCGAGCTGGTTTGTAAATTACTTTTTGAAGCAAGGTTGCCATATTGTTGCACATGTCGGTACATGAAAATAATGGCAGTCGTCGATGACAATCTTCGTTAATGTTAGAAAGGCCTGAGCAGTGATGTGATGCTTTTGATAGAAAGATCTCCTTCTATTTCGGCCCTAGAAGCCTGTCAGTCTTGGTTCGACCGTGGGGGGTGCGTTGAAAGGCAGTTTCACGCCTATACCATGTTACCAACCAGGAAATGATTCCATTGCCATCGCTTGACAGATGTCTGCAAGTTCTCACCCTTCACACACCCTGCAAACTGGGAATTTAAGCGAAAGATATTCGATTGCTTTGAATTCGCGTTTCCAAGGCCCGTAGGTCACTTGGCCCTCCTCAACTATTCGAAACCCGGGAAATGTGTGTATGCTCAAACGCCGATCGATGCTAACTCGCTGAAAGTGTGTGTATGTATGCAGTAGTGAGGACAGCGGGCAATGGCCGTGTCCACTGAGTGCGCGCTTCGCTAAAACGACAGTGACAGCTTGCCTTCTCTCATCTCTCTTTTTTTTTTTTTAAAAAAAAAGCAGCGACCCGACTCCATAGTGCGCCGGATTTTGACGAAAAATAAACCAAGGAGAAAGCTCAGGCTGAAAAGACACCCAAGCCTTCGGGGTCTTTGTTATCCTCGCGCTGTTCCCGTTCACGTTCGCGCTCATCCTCTTCCGTCTTCTCGCTTTGCAGACTCTCTGCCAGACTCGCCGTCTTTCTCTTCTTACGGAAACTGGACCAGCTCAATCCACTTGATCGATCGGCCTTCTTTTCGTCTTTTCCACGTTGCTCCACTCCGACAGCTGGGCTGCTTGCCGCGCTACTACCACACAGAGCTGGAGTAGGGGGCTCTGTCGAGGCGCCGTCGCCATCATCTGCGTCCTCGAAGCTGCTACTGTTCTTCTTCTCGCTGCGAGAAAAGAAGCCACCCTTCTTTTCACCGCTACTCCCGCCCGTACCTGGAAGGCTAAACTTGGATGAACTGCTTTTCCGGCTGAGCTTGCTCATCCAACTCTCCTTGCCCACGCTGGTGCCGGCTGCAGCCACGCTTTCGGAGCGAGACTCGGTTCGGTCAAGGCTGGGTCGTGGGCTCCAGCTGGTGGACAGGGACAAGCTTGCGGTCTCAGCCACGCTGCTTGCGACTGTACTACTGCGGTCGCGACCTGTGTGGCTGTCGCGTGATTTTCGTGTCAGCGTAGGCGAGAGTTCGCCACCTTTGAGGCCGAAGACGTCCGAAGCACCAGTCGAGGACGTGGGCGGATACAAGGTGGACGTGGTGGCAATAGCGAAATCGGTTGCAGAAGTGGGACGTTCATCCGTGCCGTCAAGACCTGAAAAAGAGGGCTCCTTGGCTTTAGACTTGCCCTTGTTCTTCTTGTCCACCTTTTCCTTTTCGGTTTTGGCCTTGTCCGCAGAGCGAGTCCAAAGGGACTTGAAGTTGGGCGCCGCTGGATTCAATTTGCCGCTTGGAGGGGTTGAGGGGGCCGGCTGGGGTTGGGACTGGGGACGTGTGCCAATTGGCGCCTGTTGAGGGGAGCGGTTGTCCTGTGGATAATCGAACTCATGATCGATAGATTCATCGTAGCCCAGTCCAGGAGGACCATGCTGAACCGAAGGTCTGCGAGAAGGTTGGCGCGAAAATGAATTCATGGAGCTGAGGGCAGCATTAATGCCCAGATCGGCTGCGCTCAAAGGGGATGATCGTTGACCAGTGGGCTCAGCGGTCCATCCGAAGCGCTGGGAACTCTCAGTAGACGGTCGAGGGAGCTGATTCTCACTAAATGACTTGGTCGAGCCTGGACGGGGAGACGAAGATCTTTCCGGCCCAAAGCCAGGTGGCCATGCGGACTCTTCTTCTTTGCTAGGGAAGAATTTGAAAGCTCTTTTGCGCGTTTGAACATGACTGGGACTATTAGTTCCCAAGGGAGGCACCGAGGTGCGAAAGGGCTTTATCGATTCCATCCAGCTCGACCCAGAGTGACTACCTCTACGGCGTGGCGCGCCTATCGGGGGGAGCTCTTCATGCTCAGGGCGTGGCAAAGAGTGACTCTGGGAGCTTTTCAGCGACCCAAAAACAGGGCCA